TCTGGAGATGACTTTTTTTCTTTCTATCGGGATTCACACGCATTTTATATAATTTCACTAAACATGTCGTGGGGCCATTTTACACTAATCCTGAGTCTCTAATTATTGGTTTGATAACAAACAATATTTTTCATTCACGTTACCTAGCTAGCTAACATGGTAACTTGACAGTAGGTTCTATTGGTTGCAAGAATTTTGTATAATACAAATTTTGAATCCGGCGTCATTTCATAAGCCATGTGCCATTGAATAGGTATGAAAATCTCTTCCCAACTATTTAGCAATCTACAGTGCCTTCGGAAAGTATTCAGACCCCTTTATTTTTTCCACATTTTGTTAGGTTACAGCCTTATTTTTCCCCCTCATCAATCTACACACAATACCCCATAATGACAAAGCAAAAACAGTTTATTTTTTATTTGTTATAAAAACTGAAATATTACATTTACATAAGTATTGAGACCCTTTACTCAGTACTTTCTTGAAGCACCTTTGGCAGCGATTATAGCCTTGAGTCTTATTGGGTATGACGCTACAAGCTTGGCACACCTGTATTTGGGGAGTTTCTCCCATTCTTCTCTGCAGATCCTCTCAAGCTCTCTCAGGTTGGATGGGGAGCGTTGCTGCACAGCTATTTTCAGGTCTCTCCAGAGATGTTCGATCAGGTTTAAGTCCGGGCTCTGGCTGGGCCACTCAAGGACATTCAGAGACATGTCCCAAATTTACATTTTTACATTTTAGTCATTTAGCAGACGCTCTTATCCAGAGCGACTTAGTTATTTTTTTTCATACTGGCCCACCGTGGGAATCAAACCCACAACCCTGGCGTTGCAAACGCCATGCTCTACCAACTAAGCTACACAAATCCACTTCTGCATTGTCTTGGCTGTGTGCTTAGGGTCATTGTCCTGTTGGAAGGTGAAACTTCGTCCCAGTCTGAGGTCCTGAGAGCTCTGGAGCAGGTTTTCATCAAGGACTCTGTACTTTGCTCCGTTCATCTTTCCCTCGATCCTGACTAGTCTCCTAGTCCCTGCTACTGAAAAACATCCCCACAGCATGATTCTGCCACCACCATGCTTCACCGTAGGGATGCTGCCAGGTTTCAGGCCAAAGAGTTCAATCTTGGTTTCATCAGACCGCTCTTGCTCCTTCACTACACTGCCTGTGTGGGTGGACCATTTCAGATTGTCAGTGATGTGTACACCGAGGAACTTGAAGCTTTCCACCTTCTCCACTGTGGTCCCATTGATGTGTATAGGGGCGTGCTGAAGTCCAGGATCAGCTCCTTCGTTTGGTTGACATTGAGAAAACAATATGGGACCTTCAATTCTGCAGAAATTTTTTGGTACCCTTCCCCAGATCTGTGCCTCGACACAATCCTGTCTCGGAGCTCTACGGACAATTCCTTCAACCTAATGGCTTGATTTTAACTCTGACATGCACTCTCAACTGTGGGACATTTACATTTACATTTTTGTCATTTAGCAGACGCTCTTATCCTTATATAGACAGGTGTGTGCCTTTCCAAATCATGTCCAATCAATTGAATTCACCACAGGTGGAGTCCAATCAATTTGTAGAAACATCTCAACGATGATCAATGGTAACAGGATGCACATGAGCTCAATTTCGAGTCTCATAGCAAAGGGTCTGAATACTTATATAAATAAGGTTTTTCTGTTTTTAATATTTAATAATTTTACAAAAAATTCTAAAAACCCGTTTTTGCTTTGTCATTATAGGGTATTGTGTAGATTGCTGAGGAAAATGTTTTATTTAATCCATTTTAGAATAAGGCTGTAGCGTAAGAAAATGTGGAAAAAGTGAAGGGGTCTGAATACTTTCCGAAGGCACTGTATATGGCACATCTGTCAATTTTTTGTTCCTTAAGTTAAACTGGTATACTTTCATTTATCACAATTTTCTTTAACCAATTTTGGTCCTTAATGCAGGGCCGACAGACAAGCTCCTTACGTTTTCCCTCTTCTACTTGCCTCTTCCATTTTTGCGGTAATGCTGCAATTAGTTGGTTGTAATTTTGGGTAGAGCAGACATTTCCATATATTTTTGTTAGCTGCGTATGTGACCTAACTCCACCAGTCCTATTTATGATATAATTTACAAAGATTATACCTAAAAAAAAAGAAAATCCTAAAACTATGTTTTTTAAAAATCAATTAGTATATTTGAGTTTAACCATAATATTTTTTGTTATAATTGTTCTGTCTTTTGTGGTGGATTAAACTGAAATTGCAACCAACTTTCTATGGCTTGTTTTAAAAATAGCGATATTTCATTTTCAAATAACCGAAAGTGAGAGATTGTAATCTGAATAAAGGGAAAAAGGCCATTCTTGAACAAGGGGTGAGACATTCTTACTAATCTGCTAGAAAACCAGTTCGGATTTAACTTTTGTATGACAGAAGCCTTTGGTGAGAGGTCTAATGCTTTAATTTGTAATCATTTCTGCCGTCCGAATTCATATTCATGAAATAAATAGGACCGTTTAATTTTGTCTGGATTACCGTTCCAAATTTGCTCATATAATTTTTAAAAACAATTCGCTAAACTTATTTAATACATTTAATTAGCAAAGTTATGCAACACCCGATTCCCCTGAGTGAAAAAAGTAATTGCCCCCTTACACTCAATAACTGGTTGCGCCCCCCTTTAGCTGCAATGACTGCACCAAAGACTTTCTTGTAGTGGTTGATCAGTCTCTCGCATCGCTGTGGAAGAATTTTGGCCCACTTCTATGCAGAACTGCTTTAACTCAGCAACATTTGTGGGTTTTCGAGCATGAACTGCTCATTTCAGGTTCTGCTACAACATTTCTATTGGGTTTAGGTCTGGACTTTGTCTAGGCAATTCCAAAACGTTATATTTGTTGCTTTTCAGCCATTCTGATGTAGAATTGCTTGTGTGTTTTGGATCTTTGTCTTGCTGCATGACCCAGCTGCGCTTCAGGTTCAGCTCATGGACAGGCCTGACATTCTCCTTTAGAATTCTCTGATACAGAGCAGAATTCATGGTTCCTTTAATGATGGAAAGTCGTCCAGGTCCTAAGGCAGCAAAGCATCCCCAAACCGTCACACTACCACCACCATGCCTGACCATTGGTATGAGGTTCTTACTGTGGAATGCAGTGTTTGGTTTTCGCCAGACATAACGGGACCCATGTTATTCAAAAAGTTGACTCAAGTTTGCCAAAACACACCTGGAAGCACCTGTCAATACTCGTCAAGACTCCTGGAAGAATGTTCTATGGACAGATTACTCAAAAGTTGAATTTTTTGGACAACATGGGTCCCATTAGGTCTGGCGAAGCTGGGTCATGCAGCAAGACAATGATCCAAAACACACAAGAAATTCTACATCAGAATGGCGGAAAAGCAGCAAATATATATTTGGAAATAAGGTATTTCAGTTTTTTATTTTTAATACATTTGCAAAAATTTCTAAAAACCTATTTTTGCTTTGTCATTATGGGGTGTTGTGTGTAGATTGAGGGAAAATTATAATTTTATCCATTTTTGTAACGTAACAAAATGTGGAAAAAGTAAAGGGGTCTGAATACTTTCCCGAATGCACTGTATCTATAAGGTCCCTCAGTCGAACAGTGAATTTCATACAAAGATTCAACCACAAAGATCAGGGAGGTTTTCCAATGCCTCGCAAAGAAGGGCACCTATTGGTCGATAGGTAAAAAAAAAAAGAAGAAGATATTAAATATCCCTTTGAGCATGGTGAAGTTATTAATTACACTTCGGATGGTGTATCAGTACACCCAGTCACTACAAAGATACAGGCGTCCTTCCTATCTCAGTTGCCAGAGAGGAAGGAAACCGCTCAGGGATTTCACCATGAGGCCAAGTTACAGAGTTTAATGGCTGTGATAGGAGAAAACTGAGGATGGATCAACAACATTGCAGTTACACCACAATACTAACCTAATTGACAGAGTGAAAAGAAGGAAGCCTGTACAGAATAAAAAATATTCCAAAACATGTGTCCTGTTTGCAAAAAGAAAATGTGTCAAAGCAATTAACTTTATTATAGTGTTATGTCACAAAGTGTTATGTTTAGGGCAAATCCAATACAACACATTACTGAGTACCACTCTCCATATTTTCAAGCATAGTGGTGGCTGCATCATGATATGGGTATGCTTGTAATCGTTAAGGACTGGTGAGTTTTTCAGGATAATAAAGAAACGGAATGGCGCTAAGCACAAGCTAAATATTGAGGAAAACCTGGTTCAGTCTGCTTTCCACCAGACATTGGGAGATTAATCCACCTTTCAGCAGGACAATAACCTAAAACACAAGGCCAAACCTACACAGGAGTTGCTTACCAAGAAGACAGTGAATGTTCCTGAATGGCCGAGTTACAGTTTTGACTTAAAAAATGGTTGTCTAGCAATGATCAACAACCAATTTGACAGAGCTTGAAGAATTTTGAAAATAATGTGCCCTGTATTGCACAATCCAGGTGTGGAAAGCTCTTATAGACGTATCCAGTAAGACTCACAGGTGTAATCGCTGCCAAAGGTGCTTCTACAAAGTATTCACTCAGGGGTGTGAATACTTAGGTAAATTAGATATTTCTGTATTTCATTTTCAATAAATTTGCAAAAATGTCTAAAAACATGCTTTCACTTTGTCATTATGGGGTATTGTGTGTAAATGGGTGTGAAAAAAATCTATCTAATCCATTTTCACTCACTTCAGGCTGTAACACAACAAAATGTGGAATAGGTCCAGGGGTATGAATACTTTCTGAAGGCACTGTATATGTACCATAAACCAGACTGCTGTATTCAGTTAAGTGAATTCAGTGGATTGACCTCATAAAAAAAACAGATGCAACGATTGTAAAGGTGTACTGTATTTTGCATTGGGTTTTTTTATGGTCAAAAGTTAATGTATTCATCATAACTAATAGGATTATCTGGTTATTTGTCTGATTTGATGCATGCAGTCTTGTTTATGTACAATAATATGTACTGGTCTCCCCAGGTGACAGTTTTGAGGTCATACGACACCATGATTGCTACTGCAAGACGCCAGTCGGAGGGCACCCTCATCTACATTGTTGACAAAACAGATCTCTACATCCGAGTCCGCGATGGATTCAAACAAGTCCTGGTAGAGTCATTAATTTTTCTTCATGTGAGAAATGTGTTCATAAGGTAGGAAGGAGCTGGAGACGCACATTCAAAAAGTTGAAGTGCAGACCAAAAGAAACTTAGAAAAACACAAACTCAGCAAAAAATGTATGCGTATTCTTATTGTTTTCCAGCTCGGTGACTACAGTCCCTTCTACAGAGATCTGGTAAGTTCTTCTATCAATATAAAAATGTATCAACTTATTTAATTAATAGCTATTGATATATTTGAGGGAACAAAGTCATAAAATCAAGGATTACTTTTCATGTCAAATAAATAAAGATCTTAATCTCCAGGACAACGAAGTAGCGGCAGTCCAGCCTCCCGCTGTTGTCAACTACCCCCAGTCTCAGGATCACTCGGCCAACAATGGAGCTGAACACTTCTCCCTAGGCGGTACCGCCACCCACCCCATCGAGCCTCCTCCTCGCAAGCCCGTGGAGATCCCCAGGCCTGCCAAACCCGACAACCACAACCCCAACCCCAGATACCCCCCTCAGTACGACCCCAGATACCCCCCTCAGACTGACACTAGGTACCCCCCTCAAACAGATGGCCGCTACAGCCATGTGCAGCCTGAGAACAGGTATCCCGTTCAGCCCGAAAGCCGATACCCGGTCACCCCCCAGCGAAGACCCGTTCCCCTTCCTGTTCCCCAGCCTGCCAGTCACTTGCACACATCAGGGCCAGGAGTGAGTACCTTTATCATCATTTAATGTGCCTTCCCAGAAAGTATGTATGTATCAAATGGTCTCATCTAAATAGTGTGTGTAGACCTAAGCTGAGCTGTTTTTATAACTCATCTCTCTTTTCTGCTCAGCTCCACCTGATCGCCCTGAACATGCCCCAAGTGGGCAACATGCGGGGCATTCGTGGGTCAGACTTCCTGTGTTTCCAGCAGGCTCGTGCTGTGGGTCTGAAGGGCACCTTCAGGGCTTTCTTGTCCTCCAAGCTCCAGGACCTCTACAGCATAGTTCGCAAGTCCGACAGAGACAGCCTCCCCATCATAAACCTGAAGGTGTGTAAACATACTACTGAAAGCACAAGTATAGACTGTGGGATCCCACTTCTGACACCAAATTTACATTGAGTTTAGTGAAGCAACCTATTCATTAGCTTTTCATGAAATTCCAGTAATGAAATAAGTAATGAAATGCTGCCATGGGTTTTCATTTTAACCTTGTTTCTCTTGCTGACGAACATATATGCTCTCTCTCTTTAGGATCAAGTGCTGTTTAATAGCTGGGAGTCTATGTTCAGTAAGACTGGGGGCAGGATGAAGGAAAATGCACCAATCTACTCCTTTGATGGCAGAGATATCCTTAGGGACAGTGCATGGTGAGTGGTGGCCTCTCAGACACAGCTACACAGTAACATCTCCAGTGTTACATTAACTCTAATAGTGTTAACTCTACAAAGTGCATCTAATGCATTAAAGTCCCTGTAGCTGGCTAGCTAGCTACAGTGAGTTGTTCAAACTATTCTGAGTTGTTGTTGAGTTCTTCAAACTATTGTAAAACTATTCTGAGTGAGTTATCTTGTCCCATTTGCTTCTTCGTAATTTGGTAAGTTTGCCAATGTTATAACTTAAAGATGTAAGGTGGTACATAGCTAGCTAGCTACGCAAGTTTTTTAACTTACGTTTTTGCTAAACTAGCATTGACAGCTCTGTGTACATAATCCAAGATAACATACAAATAGCTAGCTAACAACATTTAGATTATACTAACTGACCAGCTAGCTTGCAATCGCCGCACGCTGCAGCTCTATGAGCTAGTCAGAGAAAAGCTTGCTAGCAAGCCAAGCTACTAGATTGCTATCAACAGCCAGTTGCCCTGGGCAAAATACGTTTGGTCAGAGAAGCAGTCCTGAGCAGCATTCTTTGAATCAGAGCGATATCTTGTGGTGGACGTCATCTAACAGTATCCTAAACCTTACAACAGTTTGAATACTGGTCCATATCCCTCTGCCTTAAATGTAACTTTAAAAAAATGTCTATATTATCATACTACACAGAGTAAATGTTACACTTCCTAAAGTGTTTGCTTTTTAACACTTTCAAAGAGTTTATGTAAATGCAAACACTTGTTATTGTTGCATTCATTCTCAATGGTGTAAAGTGTTAAACATCTATTCCACCAGAGTCATTATTTTTATTCTAATAGTTTACCACCTTTTAACACTGTGAAATGTTTGACTCTAATAGAGTTGAATACCTTTTAACACTGTATGGTCTAACCTTAAATTATACACATGTAAAGCTGCTTAATTTATCAATGTAAACAGCACCCTAACAGATGGGACATTCTCTATTAGGCTGTTATAGAGAATCTGCAATTTTTTTAATCTAATCGTGCAGTATCGTTCTTATTATGGCAAATAGTTACTTTCTCATTAGTCATAATGAGTGTCGTCATAAGCAAAATTCCTTTGTTATAAAGTGTGGTAGCCTAAGTGGTAGTCTATGTATGTATGATATGCCAGGGCTTATGCCATACTGCTTATAACAGTGTCATGAAGGCACTGTATTATCACTGTTAACTGGATAGATTTTTTATAAAATTAGTCTAATAAGGTGAAGTACTTGAGGTGATTAACATAATTAATTCCGATTTGTTTCCCTTCAGGCCTGAAAAAATGGTCTGGCACGGCTCTAGCAGCGAGGGTCACCGCCAAACTGACAACTACTGCGAGACATGGAGGGCAGGAGACCGCGCAGTGACAGGCCTAGCATCCTCACTGCAGTCCGGCCAGCTCCTACAACAGTCGCCCAGCAGCTGCTCTAGCTCCTACATAGTGCTGTGTATCGAGAATAGCTATCTCTCACACTCCAAAAAATAATTGTAAAAACCATCCCTGTCACTTTGGTCCTAGTAAACGCATTACAAGTGTCCAAACAAGCCCATTCCTCCTCCCTCCGCCCCTAAAAATATGACATATTTCGAACTGGGTCTGCAGCGCTTGCCTGGCAGAGAAGCTTCCCATTGTCTTCTCTATCCCTTCCATAATGCCAAAGAGACGGGTCGAACAGAGAGGTGTTTGCCTTTTTCTCGGGGCATTGGCACATATTTTCTAAGGGGTTGAACAAGAGAAGAGAAGCTAACTGCGGCAGCATTTTTTTATTGTATGCGTAAAAAAATATGTTTGTATATGATATGTCTGTTTTGAGTTTTATTAGCATTTCTGATTTTATCAATTTTACTTTTGAATCTGTCTTTAAATGTGGTATATTCAACCATTTTAATGTACCATTTTCCAAATGTTTGTTTGTTTTATTTTCATTTCATTTAAGGCTTGTAGTTTACTAAAGGGTACAGTAACCTTTTAAATGATATTTTAAGAATTAAAGAAGATAATAGATATTTATTTTTAAATGAAGTTATGTTAGAACACACAATTTGATTTACAATAGTAACAACACATGAAAAATGCCCTAATCCATATTGTAGTCAGCACTTTTTCACAGACTATTTCATACACTTACACAGGTGAGGGTGAGTTTCCTAACCTAATATGGAAAACTGTACGTTGTAAAAATGAGTGTGTGGTTTTTGAAATGCATGTCAAAAGAGATTGTGCTTTGATGTCAAGATACTTTAAAAAATAAAAATAAGTAAATAAAACTAAGATAAGATATGATGACTCTTAGAATAAAAATTACTAATTACTATAATGTTATATACCAGGTCACAAATATGTAAAATGTGATTATAAATATGATTTCTTTCAATTCCACATTCCACAGATGTAGGATCTTAATTTGATCACTCTATGTTGCTGAGAACTTTCGTTCACAGCAGGAAATGCAAACTTGTAGTGTATTTAAGTTTTAAAAAGCTTCTAAAGTTTGAAATTTCAGACTTGATTTGCCCTTTCAAAAAATGTATCAACCCCTACAGAAATTGCCATTAATTATAATTCACATAATTCACATTTCCTGTTGCTGCAGGATACTTTTTCTGCTGTTGCAAACTGGTTCAAATTAAGATCCTACATCTGTAGACGTTTACTGTATATGTCTAGTTACCATTTTACATTTGGTGAACATTGTTTTATACGTCCTCATTGGGCATAGCCTACACTAAATTCATCATACTCATATCCAAGACGCAAGTTACAAGGTCTTTCATAACCGTAAAGCAGATGCAGAGACAAATTTGATGGAAGGGTCAATTTTGCTGTTATTAAAAATAAATTAAAATCCTGTTGATAATAACCTACCATTGGGGTTTGAAAATGTTTTGAGTTCAATTTGGTGCTAATCTCTATTGGAGTGACTGCTGACTGTGATGGTTGAGGAAACCCAGATATATTTTATTAAGACACTTTGTAGTAAGTATCCTCGTGTTGATGAATTTCTGAGGCTATCTTGGCTATAGTGCTACTGTTGTTTCTTGACTGAACCAGTATGAACCTGTGGATATTCATTATTTTTGTAACCAGTATGTGCTGTATCATTTCGTAGAGGCACTGAATAAACATTTTCTTTTTTCTTTTATTCATGAGACTGTGGATGCAAAGTTTTTTGCAATAATGTTTTTTTAACCAATGTTTTGTGTGGCCAATATTTCAAAGTAGTGTTACATTATGACTGGTTTTGTTGTGGAAAATGTATGTGCTGAGCGAGTGGGTTTAAAATATGTAAACCCATTTCCACCGATACTTGGACATTAAATACATTCTGCTGCTATCATGTGGATAGAAATACAGCAGTTTCTATTCTTATCCAATTGCGTGGTTATCATAATTTGTCTGCTTACCAGCCAAATTAACAAATATTTGGTCAACAAGGCAAAATCTTAAAGGTCAACAACTAATAATCCCTAACATTAATTGAGATTGAGATTTTTTGCATGTGGTAAAACTAAAATGTTGATTTTCAAATTGATTCTTATGTATTTGTTCAATGTAATGACTGGAATATTCCTGTTTGGAATTTCTCTTCTCTGTTTTCTCCAGAGTAGATTTTTCCCAAGGAAACTAGTCCCCTATCCAGATTCATGGTTGTCACAGACAACCACCTTTTGATGAGATTGCAATCCCACCTCATCACCTTATACTCCAACAGACCTGTCTACTATCACCGTTTTATGGCCCACTCAATGGGATTTAGCTGTGTGGCCTTGCAAGCACCTTCTTAACACAAATCAGAGAAGGGTGCTCAAGATTCCTTGTAGGTGGTCCCTTAAATAAGGCCGTCGGAGTAGGGCTCAAGCATACTGCATATATGTGCCCTCTGTGCATATACAGTATAATGGTCCATGCCAAAGCTATTGGCACATAGGTCCAGATTGTAAAAATGAACAATCATAAAGTACAGATTGGTGGTCCAGGTCCACCACATTGTTGTTGGTCATTGTGATGTGTGCATTCTGTTCAGTTAGATACATTTTTATATAGAACGACACATAGTTGTGAAAGATGGATGAGGATCCGTCCTGCGTATCTGTATGATTTTGTTAATTAACTTCATTGTAGTGATATGGTGTGGTATGTGCTGCTCCAGTGACCTTTGATTGACATGATTCATTCTATGGAACTCTGACTCTTGCAGGGCTCTCAATCCTTCCCAGACAAGACTGGATTTGATCAAAAATGACAACAAAAGGATAATTCGGAGGCAATGGAGAAGGATGGGATTGGAAAAGAAGAGGGCTCCTAATGCTGAAAGTGGTGCGCCTGGTTTTCGGGTGATTCTGCTAAAATATAGGAAAAGGCTTAATTTGTAACATTGAGTTACCACAATGACATGTTTTGATAAAGACTGAAATACAATTTACTAGCTGCTAAGTGTCCTAGATGCTCAAAACAAAAAGGTGCCTGAAAATATATAAAAACCAACATGTAAATACAGCAGCAGAAGAAAAAGAAACATAGCACCCTACTAAATGTTATCTCAACCACAGCTTTCTCTTAAGTGTCTCAACCCATCGAGCTTCAGTAGTGTGACTGGTATGGGGCTAATATTAATTTACTGGGGGGCTCAATGTCGTCGAGGCGGTCTCTGGTTGAAAGAAAAATAACTAGCATTAAACGCTGTTCGCTATTCTACAAGATCTTTGATTGAGTAAATCTTTCAGGGAAAATAACATAATTTCCACATTAAGTCTCCCTGACAGAGTGGTGTGTTAGAACAACGTACAGCTGGCTGCTGTGAAGTGCCTGTTGACCATCTCAACAACCTAGCTGCCATGGGAGAGCTATATTTAGGAGCTGGTAAGTAATAACTAAGCACGTCCAAATGATCCACATGGACGGTAATGATATAAGAGCGAGACGACTAGATATTGGGCTTAATTACATTTGGGGCGGAAGCAAAAGCTGTGTCTGTCAGAAGATCTGCCTCTGTTATACAACCCCAGTGACTCACCCACGACCGAATCCAACAACATCTCGGCTAACAAGCAGGGCTTTATGCTTTCCCCTCAAAGCTCCATAAAATGTATTGTATTCACAGGTCTTGAAGAAGTATCCAATTCTTTATATTCATAAAACACCCCAAAATAACAACGTTGGAGTCTACAGACATTTTCTTTCAGCTTGACCAAAGCTGTTCATAAGGAAAGACATTAGACTATAGATTCAGGTTTTGTAATCATATATTTTATTGAGATACAGTGGCTTGCGAAAATATTTACCCCCCTAGGCATTTTTCCTATTTTGTTGCCTTACAACCTGGAATTAAAATTTATTAAAAAATATTTTTGGGGGTGAAACAAACAAGAAATAAGACAAAAAACGGACAACTTGAGTGTACATAACTATTCACCCCCCCCAAAGTCAATACTTTGTAGAGCCACCTTTTGCAGCAATTACAGCTGCAAGTCTCTTGGGGTATGTTTCTATAAGCTTGGCACATCTAGCCACGGATTTTTGCCCATTCAAGGCAAAACTGCTCCAGCTCCTTCAAGTTGGATGGATTTTGCTGGTGTACAGCAATCTTTAAGTCATACCACATATTCTCATTTGGATTGAGGTCTGGGCTTTGACTAGGCCATTCCAAGACATTTAAATGTTTCCCCTTAAACCACTCGAGTATTGCTTTAGCAGTATGCTTAGGGTCATTGTACTGCTGGAAGGTGAACCTCCGTCCCAGTCTCAAATCTCTGGAAGAATGAAACAGGTTTCCCTCAAGAAACATCCCCACAGCATGATGCTGCCACCACCATGCTTCACTATGGGGATGGTGTTCTCGGGGTGATGAGAGGTGTTGGGTTTGCGCCAGACATTTTCCTTGATGGCCAAAAAGCTCAATTGTAGTCTCATCTGACCAGAGTACCTTCTTCCATATGTTTGGGGAGTCTCCCACATGCCTTTTGGCGAACACCAAACGTGTTTGGTTATTTTTTTCTTTAAGCAATGGCTTTTTTCTGGCCACTCTTCCGTAAAGCCCAGCTCTGTGGAGTGTACGGCTTAAAGTGGTCCTATGGACAAATACTCCAATCTCCGCTGTGGAGCTTTGCAGCTCCTTCAGGGTTATCTTTGGTCTCTTTGTTGCCTCTCTGATGAATGCCCTCCTTGCCTGGTCCGTGAGTTTTCGTGGGCGGCCCTCTCTTGGCAGGTTTGTTGTGGTGCCATATTCTTTCCATTTTTTAATAATGGATTTAATGGTGCTCCGTGGGATGTTCAAAGTTTCTGATAGTTTTTTATAACCCAGCCCTGATCTGGACTTCTCCACAACTTTGTCCCTGACCAGTTTGGAGAGCTCCTTGGTCTTCATGGTGCCGCTTGCTTGGTGGTGCCCCTTGCTTAGTGGTGGCCCTTGCTTAGTGGTGTTGCAGACACTGGGGCCTTTCAGAACATGTGTTTATATACTGAGATCATGTGACACTTAGATTGCA